CACTCCCCCTGCTTATGTTCCCTCTCTCTCTGTGTCAAATAAATAAATAAAATCTTAAAAAAAAGAAAATAAAATAAACAGATATATAAAACGCTCCACTGAAGAGCAGAATATATGTTCTTCTCAAGTGCATATGGAACATTTTCCTGGATAGACCTAGATGTTGGGCAACAAAATAAGTCTCAATAAATGTATAAACATGGAATCATATATAGAGTATTTCTCCGACCACATGGAACAGAATTAGAAACCAGCATCAGAAGGAAATTTGGAAAATTCATAGATACGTGGAAATTAAACAACACACTTCTTTTTTTTTTTTTTAAAGTAATCTCTATACCCAACATGGGGCTCAAACTCAAGACCCCAAGAGCACCTGGCTGGCTCAGTCAGAAGAGCATGTGACTCTTGATCTTGGGATCATGAGTTCAAGTCTCACATTGGGTATAGAGATTACTTAAATAAACTTTAAAAAAAAACAAAAAAAACCCAAATAACAACAACAAAAGACAAACAACAACAACAACAACTCTGAGATCAAGAGTCACATGCTCTTATCAACTGAGCCAGCCAGGTAACCCTAAACAACACATTCTTAAATAATGAATGAGTCAGACGACATTACAATGACAATTAGAAAATACTTAAAAATGAATGAATATAAAAACACAACATACCAACTTATAAAATACAGTGTAAGTAGTGCTCCATAGGAAATGTAGAGCTCTAAAAAACTGTATTTTGAAAGAAAGATCGGTCGGTCTCAAAATCCAAAACTTGTACCTTAAGGAACTAGAAAAAAGAAGAGCACACTAAACTCAAAGAAGGCAAAATAAAAGAAGTAATAAAAATTAAGTGGAGATGGGGTGCCTAGGTCACTCAGTCACTGGGCATCTGACTTCGGCTCAGGTCATGATCCTGGAGTCCTGGGACAGGGCCCCACATCAGGCTCCCTACTCAGCAGGGGACCTGCTTCTTCCTCTCCAGCTCTCTGTGCTTGTGTTCCCTCTCTCACTAGCTGTGTCAAATAAATAAAATCTTTTTTAAAAAATTCGGTAGAAATAATCAAAACAAGAAAGAAACAATGGGGAAAATGGATAAAATCCAAAGTTGATTCTTTGAAAAGATCAACAAAACTGACCTTTAAACTAACAGAAAAAGACTTGGGCAGCTGGATAGCTCAGTTGGTTAAGCATGGACTCCTGATTTCAGCTCAGGTCATGATCTCATGATTGAAGGACTGAGACCCCTATTGGGCTCTGGACTCCAGGCACTCCACTCAACAGAGAGTCTGCTTGAGATTCTCTCCTCTCCCTCTGCCCCTCCCCCTGCTCGCACCCACCCTTTCTCCCTCTCTCTCTTTCAAACAAATAAATCCTTTTTAAAAAAAGAGAGAGAAATGACTCAAATTACTCAAATCAGGAATGAAAATGAGGACATTATACCAACCTTATAGAAATAAAAACAAACAAAATGTAAAGAACATTCATATGCAAAAAAATTAGATAACCTGGATAAAATGAACAAATTTGTTGCAATACACAAACTATCAAAACCGACTGAAGAAGAAATAGAAAATCTGAATGGATCTTTAACAATGGAGAGATTGAATCAGTAATCAAAAGCCTTCCAACAGTAAAAAAAAAAAAAAAAGACCAGGACCAGAGAACTTCACTGGAGAATTTTTTTTTAAGTAGACTCTACCTCCAATGTACGGCTTGAATTCATGACCATGAGATCAAGAGTGACATGCCCCTTCACTGGCAAATTTTATAAAACATTTAGAGAATTTTACACTAGGAATGCCTGCATGGCTCAGTCAGCTAAGCGTCTGCCTTTGGCTCAGGTCATGATCCCAGGGTCCTGGGACAGAGTCCCAAGCCCCAGATCAGGCAACCTGCTTAGCAAGGAGTCTGCTTCTCCCTTTCCCTCTGCTCCTCCCCTTGCTTGTACACTCTCTCTCTTTCTCAAATAAATAAATAAATAAAAAGAATTTATACCAATTCTTCTCAAACTTTTCCAAAAAACAGAGGGAATACTTCTTAATTCATTCTATGAAGCCTGTATCATACTGATACCAAAGCTAGATAAAGACATCACCGGTAAAGAAAACTACAGACCAATTACAGATGCAAAAATCCTCAACAAAATACTACCAAATGGAATCCTGCAACATATTAAAAGGATTTATATAATAACGTCTGGCCAAAGTGGACTCTCAATAAATATTTGGTGAATAAATAAATGTGCAAGCCAAAAAAAAAAAAAAAAAAAAAAAAGCATAACTATATTCATTTTCTTTTAGTGATGAAAGAAATGCTGGACAATTATTTCAAAATTTATAACCCAGTAATTCATCTAGTAGAAATATATGAAATATAGTGGTATATTAATTAAATTTAATTGAATTATGAGGCACCTGGCTGGCTCAGTGAGTGGAGCATGTGACTCTTATCACAGGATTGAGTTTGAACCCCATGTTGGGTGTCAAGATTACTTAAAATCTTTTTTTTTTTTTTAAGAATTTATACGATGGTTAAATCCAGATTCAATAGAATCTCTATCAAAATTCCAACCGCATTTCTGCAGAAATAAACAAGACTCCACTCATATGGATGGAATTCAGATGAAATTGCAAGGAGCCCTGAATAGCCAAAACAGTCTTGAAAATAACAATGTTGGAAGACTCACATGTCCCAATTTCAGAATATACTATGAAGCTACTAATCAAAACCATGTGATACCGGCAAAGAACAGACATATACATTAATAGAGTCTAGAAATTAACCCACACATCTATGGTCAATGGATTTTCAACAAGGATGCCAAGCCCATTCAATGGGGAAAGAATAGTCTTTTCAGTAAATGGTGCTGGAACAACTGGGTGTCTGCATACAAAATGAAGTTGGACACTTACTTCACTTACTTTATACTTATGTATAAAAAAATAACTCAACATGGATCTAAGTCCAAATTAAAAAGCTAAAGCTATTAAACTGGATGGAGTTCAGGACATGCTACTCCAAAATTTGGTACCTTGGCATACTGAGTATCCTTTTACCTATGTATTTATCTGGAAGAGAGCACGAGCATGCACATGCGTGCAAGGGGCAGAGGGAGAAAGAGAATCTTAAGCAGGCTCCACGCCCAGTGCCTGATGTGGCTTGATTCTCTTTCTCCCTCTGCCCCTTGCACTCATACTCTCTCTAAAAAAAAAAAAAAAAAAAAAAAAGTCACACACTTCAATATGACTGAGCCAACCAGGAACCCTTAAAGTGGGTTTTTTGTAGTCAACATATAGTTCCATCTTATTTTTTCATCCACTGGCACAACCTTTTTGAAGGGCAGTATGTGTTTAACCAAAAAAAAAAAAAAAAAAAAAAAATTGGGGCACCTGGGTGGCTCAGTGGGTTAAGCCTCTGCCATCAGCTCAGGTCATGATCCCAGGGTCCTGGGATCAATCCCCAGGCTCTCTGCTCAGCAGAGAGCCTGCTTCCCCCCTCTCTCTGCCTGCCTCTCTGCCTACTTGTGATCTCTCTGTCAAATAAAATCTTTTAAAAAAAAGTCTCAGAGGAGGCTTATTAAAGTTTGGTCAAAGACAGTCTCTGTCATGTATAATATTTATCAAGATTAAACATTCACATACTCTTTAATAATAAATAAAATCTTTTTATTTGGAAGAACTTGGAACTTATCCCATAAACAGGGACACCTGGATGGCTCAGTTGGTTAAGCATCTGACTTCAGCTCAAGTAACTCAGGTCCTGGGACAGAGCCCCGATCAGTGCTCAAGCGGAGTCCCTCTCCCTCTGCTCTTCCCCCAGCTCATGTTCACTTTCTCTTTCTCTCTCAAATAAATAAAATCTTAAAAAAAAAAAAAAAAAGTTTATCCCATAAACATACTTACAAATGAACCCCAAGGATTGTCTCCTTGGATGCAGGGATGTAGGGATTACCTCCAAACCACTGTTAATAGTATCTAAAAGACCACCAATAAGAGGATTAAACAAATTAAGATACTGAGTCTCTTCCCCCCAATTTTTTTAATGTAGTAGAATACATAGAATATTCATCTTGTACCCTGAAATTCTATTTCCATTAAAAAATAACTGCCCATTTTCCCCTTCCCCCCTCAGGGCCTTGTAACCACCATTCTATTTTATGTCTGAGTCTGACTACTCTTCACACCTCATATAAGTAGAATCATACAGTGTATCTTTTTTTGACTGGCTTATTTCATTTAACATAATGTCCTCAAGATTCATCCAAGTTGTACCATATGTCAGAAATTCTTTTCTTTTTAAAGATGAATACTATTACATTGTGTGTGATACCACATTTTGCTTATCCATTCAATGGACACTTGGGTTGCTTCCACATTTTAGGTAATATGAATAATGCTGCTATGAACAAAGGTTTACAAATATTTCTTCAAGACCCTGTTTTCATTTTTTTTTGGTGATAAACTGAGAAGTTGAATAGCTGGGTCACAGGATAAACACAAAAGGTTTATCCACATGTAGTGATACAGAAAGATATGCAAAACACTAAGCAAAAACAGAAGGTGCAAAACCATATTACAGTATTATCCCACTAACAAATACTAAAAATGAGTGGATAAATATTGCAACATGTATAAAAATTTTTTTGAGAAGACACAAAAGAAACAGTGAATAGTGGTCAACTTTAGGGAGAGATACTAGGAAGCAGTAGAAAGGAAGTTTTTCCATTTTATACCTTTCTAAATAGTTTGTTAGAAGCTATTCCACCATTACTGGAGACAGAACATCTTTCTATATTATTTCAATTTCTTACTTTGGGCATAAATTATATATGAATATATGTTAAATGTGTATAAATGTAAGTAAATTGTAGGACAAAGAAGAAAGATTTTTGAACAGGCTTATGCCACACTATACTATTTACTTATTTTTCAAGCTAATCAAACACCTCCAAAGATATTCCAAAGGTTAGCTGTATTTCAGTAGTTTGAGCCATACCTTTGAGTGTTCTGAAAGGAAGTCTGGAAGGAGATAAACTTGTGCCAACAGCTCTGTATAGTCACGACAACGGAAATAGTAAATATGGGAAAGAATATTTTCCAGAGTGAAATCCTCCAAAGCTTTTGGGTGCTCTAGAATAAACAAAACAATCTTTAAATAAAGTAATCAGTTTTACTTGTTTTGATATATTGGTGATTGTAGGAAAACAATACATTTGAGTAACAAAATGCTTCACTGTGAATAAGAGAACTATTCACTTTAATTCAAAAATAAAAAAATTAAAACAAAATTACTATAAACTACTAATGCATAATTCTTGACCTCTTATTTTCACCTTCTCCACTATTTCCTTACATGGTAGGCTATCTAGAAATTGTTTATACACATATACAACTCGAGTTTTAAAGCCTACCTTTTCATATTTCTAGTTATTCACTTCCATTAAATAGAAGTAACATAATGGAGTTTCTCCTTTCTTGTTTTGTTTTTTTTTTTTTTAACTAGGACTGCAAATTAAGAGTTTAAAGGGAAAATGTTCAAAAGAAGCATCTTTTTCCCTTATGGTAACTTTTTCCCATTATTACTATAGCATAATTTGATATTTAAGTAGAAACAATGTAAGATTCTCCCTAGATTATATACTTTTTAAAAAACCAGTTTTGGGGGCAGCTGGGTGGCTCAGTGGGTTAAAGCCTCTGCCTTCAGCTCAGGTCAAGATCCCAGGGTCCGGGCGCCTGGGTGGCTCAGTGGGTTGAGCAGCTGCCTTTGGCTCGGGTTATGATCCCAGGTCCTAGGTTCAAGCCCCGCATCGGGCTTTCTGCTCAGCAGGGAGCCTGCTTCCTCCTCTCTCTCTGCCTGCCTCTCTGCCTACTTGTGATTTCTCTCTGACAAATAAATAAATAAAATCTTTAAAAAAAAAAAAAGATCCCAGGGTCCTGGGATTGAGCCCCTCGGGCTCTCTGCTTAGCAGGGAGCCTGCTTTCCCCTCTCTCTCTCTGCCTGCCTCTCTGCCTACCTGTGATCTCTGTCTCTCTGTCAAATGAATAAATAAGATCTTTAAAAAAAAAAAAGTTTTGGGCGCCTGGGTGGCTCAGTGGGTTAAGCCGCTGCCTTCGTCTCGGGTCATGATCTCGGGGTCCTGGGATCCAGCCCCGCATCGGGCCCTCTGCTCAGCAGGGAGCCTGCTTCCCTCTCTCTCTCTGCCTGCCTCTCTACTTGTGATCTCTGTCTGTCAAATAAATAAATAAAATCTTAAAAAAAAAAAAAGTTTTGGCAGGGTGCCTGAGTGGTTAAGCCTCCGACTCAATTTCGGCTCAGGTCATGATCTCAGGGTGTGGAGATGGAGTCTGCTTGAGATTCTCTCCCCCTGCACCTCCTTGCTGGTGCGCTCTCAAAAAAATAAATAAATAAATAAATCTTAAAAAGAAAAAATGGTTTGGTTTTATACATATTACAGAGAGAAACCAGTTTAAAATTACTGCACTTTAAAATGTCCTTAAGTTTTAACATTGGAAAAAAAAAAACCACAAGAAATTAAATTTCAGAAAGCACTGCTTATTACAAATATAAAAGTTCATTTTTAACCAAAAAATAGTAACTTAATCACACAGCAATCACTAAAGACTTTATATCCCAGTGCCACACCTATAATATTCACAGTAAGGTTTTAAGACACTACTACAAATACACATTGTGACACGGGTAGCTTTAAGGCCTTTCAGTAGATATACTGGTCATCAGTTAAAAAGGACACCTAGGGGGGCGCCTGGATGGCTCAGTGGGTTAAGCCGCTGCCTTCGGCTCGGGTCATGATCTCAGAGTCCTGGAATCGAGCCCCACATCGGGCTCTCTGCTCAGCGGGGAGCCTGCTTCCTCCTCTCTCTCTGCCTGCCTCTCTGCCTGCTTGTGATCTCTCTGTCAAGTAAATAAATAAAATTAAAAAAAAAAAAAAAAAAAAAGGACACCTAGGGGTACCTGGGTGGCTCAGGTGGTTAAACATATGCGTTCTGCTCAGGTCATGATCCCAGGATCTTGGGATAGAGTCCTGCACTGGGCTCCTTGCTCAGGAGGAAGTCAGCTTCTCCCTCTCCTTTACCCCCTACCACTGCTTGTGCTTGCTCGCTCACTCTGTCTCTCATTCTCAAATAAATAAATAAAATCTCTAAAAAAAATAAAAAGGGGTGCCTGGCTGGCTCAGTTGGTTACGCCACTGCCTTCAGCTCAGGTCATGATCCTGGAGTCTAAGGATCAAGTCCGACATCGGGTTCCCTGCTCAGTGGGGAGTCTGCTTCTCCCTCTGACCCTCTCCCCTCTCATGCTCTCTCTCTCAAATAAAATATTTTAAAAAATAAAAATAAATAAAAAGGACACCAAGTACTCATATGAAGATTAAAATATCCAGCTATTACATTCATTTAAAGGGAATACAAGCATCTTATGAAAAGTATTGGGTTTTTTGCTTTTTTTTTTTTTTTTAAGATTTTGTTTATTTATTTGAGAGAGACAGTGAGAGAGAGAACACCAGCAGGGTAAACAGGAGAGGGGAAGCAGGCTCCCCGCTGAGCAGGAAGCCCCACATGGTGCTCAATCCCAGGACCTTGAGATCATGACCTGAGTTGAAGGCAGACACTTAACGACTGAGCCACTTAGGCGCCCCAACAAGTATTGTTTTTTTTAATTACTAAAGAATGAGGACAGGACAACCAAAAAATAAACTAAAACAGTCAAACCAGAAACCATTTAATTTAAAAGTAATTTAAAAAGCAAGAACTTAAATACCTTTGAGTATTTAAATTATTTAAATTGAAATTACCTTTATATGTTTTCTTAAAAAAAATCAAACAATAGTTCTACATGAGAAAAATACAAAAAAAATTAACACAGCCATGAGGTCTACTACATTCTACTCAGAACCCCCTAAAGTCAATCACCTTAATGTTCTAAATATTTCCAACATGGTTTTTCAAAGCTGTCTTCAGTGGGAAACCTGGGTGGCTCATTCGGCTGGGCATCTGCGCTCAGCTCAGGTTATGATGCCAGGGTCCAGGGATCTAGGCCCCACCTAGATCAGCTGGGATCTGCTCAGCTGGGAATCTGCTTCTCCCTCTGTGCCTCCCTCCACTCGTGCTTGCTCTGGCTCTCTCTCTCAAATAGATAGATAAAATCTTAAAAAAAAAAAAAAAAAAAGAAGAAGAAGTAGTAGTAGTAGTGAGGGCCACAAGAGAAGAAGAAAAGGGAAAAGGCCAGTCTAGGTTGTGGCATTTCTAAGTCTACAAGAAAGATCTGGGGCGCCTGGGTGGCTCAGTGGGTTAAAGCCTCTGCCTTAGGCTCGGGTCATGATCTCATGATCTCAGGGTCCTGGGTTCAAGCCCCACATTGGGCTCTCTGCTCAGCGGGAGTCCGCTTCCTCCTCTCTCTCTCTGCCTGCCTCTCTGCCTACTTGTGATCTCTGTCAAATAAATAAAATCTTTGAAAAAAAAATTTTTTTTTAAATAAATAAAAGATCTGAGAGTTTAACACCAGGACACTGTCGAGTCATTAAGATTCACGTTCCAAATTGTTTTCTGCTGAGGCTTGAGAGGAATGTTAATTACTTTTATTATAGAGAAAGAGGATCACTTGCTAACTTACCCCCTCCCATATGTGTTTCTGCTGTAAGGTGAAGGTGCTGAATGCAGGCAGTAGCAAGGTCTACCACTCTATCAACCATAAAGCTTCCTTCAGTATCAATAAAAACTGCTTCACCTTCCACTCCTCCAAAACATTCTGGTATCTGCACATCTACTGCCAACTGCATACTGTCAAGAGAAAGCTGAATGACCAAATCATTATCATAATCATCTCAGGCAGTGTTTTCAAACTCCACATCACCACCCATTAGGTACCACATTAGGCAACAGATATGGCTAACTTTCTGCTCCAAATATATGTGAATCAACTGATACTTGGATTAAGGGGAGGGTGTACCCATAAAACCATGATTAAGGACTTTTTTAGTGGTTTTTAGGTCTTTGGGAATTAAACCCTTCCTCATACTAAACCTACCTTCAAATATATCCTCAGGAATTAATATAAAAAAATACAATAAATATATGTATTATAATACACACACATATAAAATACATTATAATAAATACGACATTCATATTTTATACTGTTATATATATTATGTAATAAAAATATAATAAAATAGAAGACCACCTGTTTACCCTAATGATCACATTACAATGTTGCAAAAGAAACATTTTCGGATACCAAAATAATTATACCAATTCAAAGATGCAGTACTGAAGTAACACAAATGGTAAACTGATTTTTTTGTGTGCATGCATACACACAAAAAAAATTAAGAGCACATACATGCATTTTTGGGCTCCTGAATGTAGACCAACAGCACCATATTCTATTACTTACATAAAATGTCATTAAGCCTACCCTTAAGAAGAGAACATTTTACTTTACCATAATTGTGTTTTTCCAACACCCGGTACACCACAAATTTCTGTTGTTTTGGTTAAGGGTATTCCACCCCCAAGAATATTATCTAGTGCTGAACAGAAGGTAATTATGAAGCTCTGGGTATGCTCCTGCTCAAGAAGTTCCAGTGCTGTACACTTCTTGCCTGACTCAGCTGTAGCAGTGTATCTTGGTTTAATTGTAAGACATTCTCTTCTTAAAATCTGCAGAGTTTCTAAGGCTTCCTCTTTAGATATCCCAACTTCTGAAAGTAAAAGAAGAAAAAAAAAAACAAAACAAAACCAAAACAAAACCTCGAACCCTGATTTTAGAAATTTAAAAGTCTTAACATGCTTTTGCGTTGTCTTTATTAATTTTAATTTTTAGATAAGAGTGATGCCAAGAGTAAAGAAAAATAAAAATAAAACATTCCATTAACTATTGAATTTTTCAAGTTAATAAAGGCATTTATCTATATTTTCTTAGCATTTACATATTTAAAGGATCTATTTATTACCTCAAAAACAGAATTCAGAAATCCAAACCTCTAAAGCATTTGAGTACCTACAAGAGTATCTCAGGAAGTAGAAATAAAAATGTACTGGCAAGGGGTGCCTTGGAGGCTCAGCTGGTTAAGTGTCTGCCTCCAGCCGAGTATGAGGCTCTCTGCTCAGTGGAGAGTCTGCTTCTTCCTCTCCCTCTGCTGCTCACCCTGCTTGTGCTCTCAAATAAATAAATAAAATCTTTACTAAAAAAAAAAAAAAAAAAAAAAAAAACTGGCAGTCAGTCCTTTTACTATCTCTTTTGGTTTTATGAAGTCATAGTTTTGGGGTTTTTGTTTTGTTTTTTAATATTTTATTTATTTATTTCATAGAGATCACAAGTAGGCAGAGAGGCAGAAGCAGGCTTCTGCTGAGCAGAGAGCCATACTCGGGCTAGATTCCAGGACTCTGGGATCAAGACCCAAGCTGAAGGCAGAGGCTTTAACCCACTGAGCCACCCAGGCACCCCTGAAGTCACAGTTATTTTGATCTAATAAGGCATCTAAATTACTTTTCAGAAGAGAATGAAAATGGCCTCTAACTGCCTAAAACAAGATTTAACTTTAGGAAGTGCATGTGCATTTATTATTCATAATAAAAACTTTTCATAGAAACACTATCATGAAAAATTCACATATCACTCAACTTTTTAATGAGAACAATTATTTGATGCACAAATATTTTAAATAATACACTTACGGGGGTGCCTGGGTGGCTCAGTGGGTTAAGCCTCTGCCTTTGGCTCAGGTCATGATCTCGGGGTCCTGGGATCGAGCCCCACATCAGGCTCTCTGCTCAGCAGGGAGCCTGCTTCCCTCTCTCTCTCTGCCTACTTGTGATCTCTGTCAAATAAATAAAATCTTAAAAAAAAAAATACACTTACGCTTCCTCAATTATATAATTTTATTCCTATCAAACAATACGGACTGAGAAGAGAAAATGGCGATTTACAAAACAAGCTGTTAATGAAAGGAATAATGAAAGGCAAGGGTGAAGGGCACCTGGGTGTTTAGTGGGTTAAGCCTCTGCCTTCCTCTCAGGTCAAGATCTCCCGGGATGGAGCCACGAGTTGGGGGGAGAGGGCCTCTGCTCAGCAGGGAGCCTGCTTCGCACTCTCTCTGCCTGCCTCATTGCCTACTTGTGATCTCTGTCAAATAAATAAATAAAATCTTTTTTTAAAAAAAGTGAGGGTGACATCACTTATGAGTTTGATAGGGCAGTGCCTGATTTGGTTAGGATATGAGTATAAATTTGGCACTAATAAAAGACAATAATGGTGATAAGGAAATGAAAATCCTATCCAGTTAAAAAGCGGAAACTCTGGAGTCAGATTCCTTGGGTATGTAAACCCTGACTGAATCACTTATTATGAAGTTACTAAGTAAGGATGAATTACTTTTTTTTTTTTTGCCTCAGATCTTTCCTTCTGTAAAACGGGAATGAGACAATACATGTTGAATAGCTGGGTAGAATACTCAGGCCATCCCAAATGCTCTGTAACTGTTAGCTATCATTATCATGCAGATTCTCTCATTTATTTTCTGTAAAACCAACTTGTTGAAAAACAAAGAGCCCATCAAGCTTTGGGGGACAGGGGTGCCTGGATGGGGTTCAGTCGGGTAAGCGACTGCCTTCTGCTCAGTTCATGATTCCAGGGCCCCATATCTGGCTCCCTGCTTCTCCCTCTCTAGCTGCTTGTTCTAACAAATAAATAAAAATTTTAAGCACACAAAAACGGTGGGAAACAGTATGCAGTGTAAGACTTATAAACAGTTAACATTGGGTCTACAACATTTATTCTTTAATGGTGAGTTGAAACCTCCTTATTTTCCATTGTTAATGGCAAGGACTTAAAATGTTGCCCTTTTTTTTTTTTTTTTTTTAGATTTTTATCCATTTGACAGAGAGAGAGAAAGATCACAAGTAGGCATAGAGGCAGGCAGAGAGAGAGGGGAGGAAGCAGGCTCCCTGCGGAGCAGAGAGCCCAATGCGGGGCTTGATCCCAGGACCCTGAGATCATGACCCGAGCCGAAGGGAGAGGCTTTAACCCACTGAGCCACCCAGGCGCCCCAAATGTTGCCCTATCTTAAGAGCGGTTCTGAGCATACCCTCGTGTAATGCGTACAGGGAGACTGGCCGCAGATAGCTTCATTTTTGTATTCCTCACGATTCAGTGGTTCCCACCAATGTATAATCTACAGTGCTCTGAAATGAGAGGTTTGGGATTTCTCGTTTCATTTTTCCAGCGAATTACAGGAGAGAAGCAATGTCTTCTTTCTGCTGCTTTCTCCAGGTGCTGGGGATTCTGCTCCCTTTCTTGCCTCTGGTCCTATCAGGAATCCTCCATTTCTCAAATGTAATCCCTTTGCCCCTTGGATTCTGGAACAGCTAAAACTAAACCAGCTGTCTGGGTACCAATCCTAGCTCCACCTTTCCTAGCCCAGTCATCACGAATAGTAACTTAACCACCTGTTCCTTCGTCAGCATACTGGACATAATAATCCACGTTAACAGGGTTCTTTGGGGTAATAAATTAGCTAGTCCTCAAGAGGATTCAGCAGGCACGGGTAGAGAAAGCAATTACTGAATGTTTTCAAGACCACAGCTCTAACCATTACATGTTTAATTGGATTCAAGGAGCGGTTTCACGTCGCAAATGCAGCCTCGGGCGGAGGAAACTGGCGGAGGGTGGGTGGAAGCCTGAAGGCGGAAGAACGGAGATGGAGGCGGCACAGACGGCGGTCCGTGTGCCTCCACTTGCCATAAGAAGTCGTTACCTTTGCTGAGCTCGGACGGTTTCATCTCTAGGAGTTCCTCAGCAGTCTGGAAACCTGCAGACACCAGCTTCACCCGCACTGCTGGGGACAGCGGGAAACTCACTAAATCCCGCTGCATTTCAAAGCCGTACGCCTACGCGTATCCAGAGCAGCAAACCCCAGCCCCAACTCCGTTCGCCCGCCCGCGCGCGCCACGTGACGTCAGACGTAAGGCGGAAGGGGCGGTGTCTCTGGCCTGACTGCACGCGGCCTTGGGCTTGGCCCTTCTCCGGAGGAATGTTTTATTTTCTTGTGTCTGTACCATTTCTGTTGTGATTCTTACGAGTCCCATTTAGTGTTTCACCACCAAACATTCAACCTGACAGTAAAAAGATGGGTGGAGACCGCAAGATGAAGAGCCAGGCCCTACACACTGCATCTCCACACCTCAACCCTGGCCTGTTGGGTGGAACCTCAAGGTTATTAGTAAGAATGATCTACTCCCAGCTAGGGGTAACGCACACACCAGCCAGTTACCGGTTTGGCGTATGAAACGATCATATAAGAATTATTTGGCGTCTCCATTACAGGGTTCCAGTTTCCTATGTTTTCTCCTCGGGTATCCCCCTTGCCTTCCCCCTTCGCCTTTCCCGCCCTCGCCTAAGCCCTCGCCCGCGCGAGGAATTGTGGGCCAGCCCCCCCCCCCCACCAGCCACGGGGAGCGCTGGGTGCCCAATCCCCACACCCACGCACGCCTTCCCCGCGAGTCCAGTCTGAAGCATGGTGGTTTCTGAGACCGTTGGTTCGCTGCCCGCCTAACTTAAGAAGGAGCTGGAAAAGTAAGCAAGTGATGGTCCAGTAGTGGGCTGGGTGTGGGCTCCGGGTTCTGAAAAGGAATAATTGGGCTACGGAACAGCTCCTGCTCTGGTACAGAGGTGAGAAGGGACCCCTTCTAAAACAGAGAACTTTGAGGGAATTGAGGCGGTTTGGAAGGTGGGTTCCGAAGTCTGTCTTTGCCTAAGTGAGTGTGATTTCTTTAGGGCAGTAACTCGTTTGCTATATTTGGTGAGATTCTTAGCTTTAATTTTTTTTTTTCCCCTAGCTTAAAGGAACTTCCTAAATATTGCAAATCAGAGCTCTTTAAGTACGTAAAATCTAAGAAGGAAACATATGTTGAGCACTTTAGCAAATCCCACGCATTTCAAATGCTCACAATCGTACCAGGAGGAAAACAAGGACACAGAAGCTTAGAGCATAGTTTTCTTCAAGCCGGAATTAAAACCTAGTACCCTTTCTTCTACTCCAAGCTACCTTCAAATTGGGGGCCCCTTTTGGGTGGGGTTTCGGGGGTAGAATTCAAGAAGTGTTTGTCCCCCATTTGGTAGGACAGGGAAAGTCTGGTAGGACTGGTCAAAATGTGGATTGTTTGCCACGCAATACCTTGTTTAACTACTAGTGTGAGTCACATCTGGGCACACAGTGGGCATTACATAAATGTCCGCAGGGAGAATTCATGCTTATAAAGCAACCAGGGTCTTGGGTGAAGAAGAGACGGTGTTAACGTATTTAAAGATAGTGCTTTACTTGGTTTGCTCACTCAACGGAATGAGTCATGTTTAGAACTTTGTTTCACTGTCAGTGGAGAGTTAAGAAAGTAGTTAACTCTATCTGTAGTCATATAATTATGTTATTAATATCTTATTCTGGGCCTTGAGTTGTCTATAATTATCATTTTTTGCATCATTCTGCAGATTTCTTTAATACAGTTTGCTCTATAGTCTGCCTTTCAAACTAGGATCAAGGTTTATGAGGTCAGGCACCAAGAACTAAATAAAAACTATGGGATTTTTATGGAAGGTACACCTTCCTATGGTGTCACATTCACTCGATTTTTTAAGTTTTTTATTATTTTTTAAGATTTTATTTATTCATTTGACAGAGAGAGATAGCAAGAGCAGGAACACAAGCAGGGAGAGTGGGAGAGAGAGAAGCAGGCTTCCTGCTGAGCAGGGAGCTGGATGGGGGGCTCATCCCAGGACATGATCCCAGCAGAAGGCAGACACTTAACAGACTGAGCCACCCAGATGCCCCTACTCCATTTTTTTTTTTTTTTTATGAGAGGGAAGAATTGAATGATTTAAGTGGTAAGCCATTTAAAAATATTTTATATTAAATAAACAACATATTGTAAAGTAAAATGCAAACATAAAAATAAATTTTCAAATAATCATAAGACTTTGAAGAATGATCCAGTTTAACCTGGATACTTCAATAGTCTCCTGAAGCCTCCTAAGACTATGTTGTTGTTGTTGTTGTTTTTTCGTTGCAATTTAATGAAAAAGTTTGAGAGGCACTACTATGGACAAATGAGCATGAGCCTGAAGTCATACAAATCTGGGCTTATATCACATCTCTGGAAATTACCAACTGTAAACCTTGCAACAAGTTACTTAGTTTCCTCACCTACAAGTAAAAGATAATAATTCATGGGATTATTAGAAAGGTCAAATTAACAAATATGGTGATTTTGATAAAACTTCAAGCCTCAGACACACATATTTGGAGTACCAATATCAATTGTACAAAGCTTATACATAGTAGGAACTCAAGATTTTATTTGTTATCCACAAACTCTTGAAATCTCATTTCTGTGACTCCTATTTTCTCCATATCCATCTGGTTTTTCTCTCTCTTGGAAGCTCATCTTCCATAACCTGACCCTAAAATGTTACAGGTTCTTTTAAAACCCCATAGCTGATATTTTGCTGACTATTCTGTTCTCTTTCTTCTCTTGTGCTCTCATTCTCTCTCTCTCTCTCATTCAGTGACTAAATGTCAGTGGTTCTTTTTTTTTTCCCCTTAATTAAAAAAAAAAAAAAGATTTTATTTAAGAGAGACACAAAGCATGAGCAGGGAGAGGGGCAGAAGGAGAGGGAGAGGGACAAGCAGACTCCCCATTAAGAGCAGAGCCTAACACAGAGTGTGATCCCGGGACCTTGAGATCATGAAAGATCATGACCTCCAGGGAAGTCAGACATTTAACCGACTGAGCCACTCAGGCACCCCGATTCTTAAATTTATATTTCTAGCCCAGCCCTGTTCTCTCACCTCCAGATGCAAATATCGGATTGCCTACTGGACAATGCAAAGGTCTCCAACTCAGCCTATTTTTTTTTTTTTTTAAGATTTTATTTATTTATTTGAGAGAGCGAAAACATGAGTGTGGGGGAGGGGCAGAGAGCGAAGGAGAAACAGACTCCCTGTTGAGCAGGGAGCCAGAGGTGGGGCTTGATTCCAGGACCATAGGGTCATAACCTGAGTTGAAAGCAAATGCTTAACTAACTGAGCCACTCAGGAGCCCCTCCAGCTCAGCCTATCTTAAACCTAACTCAGGGTCACCTTGGTGGGTCAGTTGGTGAAGCATCTGCCTTCCGGCTCCAGTCATGATCCCAGGGTCCTGGGGTGGGGCCTGCATCAGGCTCCCTGCTCAGTGGGGGGTCTGCTTCTCCCTCTGCCCTCCCTTTCTCTCTCTCTCTCTCTCTCAAATAAATAAAATCTTTAAAAATATTTTTTAAACCTAACTCATTATCTTCTTTAGCCCACTCCCCAAACCTTGTCGTCTTCCTGCATTCCCTACCTCCATAACCTGAATATCCATCTTTTCCATATGCACAGACAAGAAACCTAGGTATCATTCTCAACACCTTCCCTTTTCACTCCCCGTGTTTAATGCATACACAAATCCTATCAGTTTTCTCTTTAACATATCTTGATTCTGTTCATGCCTCCACCTCTAGGCCAAGCTCCCACCATTTTGTTTGTAGGTACTCAAGACCATTTTAGCTGGTCTCTCTGCATCTTGTCTTCTCCTCTCTAGTCTGTTCTCCCATGCTGCAGCCAGAATGTTCTTCCTACAGTACAATTCTATATTTCAGCTCGTCACTTTTTATTTTACTCTTAGGATACAGACCAAATTTCTTAGTAAGACTCAAGTTTCCCTTTTAAGGCTCTCACGGCACCAAATGCCTCTGTGTGATTTTTTACTTAGTATATGTCTCCCTGACCAGATTGAAAACTTCAGTAGAGCAGGACCACGTGGATTTTATTCCAGGTGTTTTCCTGGAACCCCTAGCCCAATGTATGGCTTTAGTGGGTACTCAGTAAATATTTATTAAAAGAATGGATGATTAGATGATTGACCTGCGCCTCTCTCCCTATATTTTTCTATTTTGTACTTTTAATCTGTATACTTTAAAAATATAAACTTATGGGGCGCCTGGGTGGCTCAGTGGGTTAAGCCGCTGCCTTCGGCTCAGGTCATGATCTCAGAGTCCTGGGATCGAGCCCCGCATCGGGATCTCTGCTTGGCAGGGAGCCTGCTTCCTCCTCTCTCTCTGCCTGCCTCTCTCCCTACTTGTGATCTCTCTGTCAAATAAATAAATAAAATCTTAAAAAAATAAATAAATAAATAAACTTATAGGAAATACATACTTGTAGAAAACAAATAGAGAAAATATAAAGAAGGAAACAAAACTGGTTCATAAATTTTCTATTTAACTCAGATAATAATGTTAACATTTTGGTTTATTTTAATCCTACAAGTTCATATAATGTATTTATCTTACATATTTGTGGTCAAATTGTGAAGAAATTTGTTTACCTTTTGTTTTTCACTTAATAATTTGTCAAAAGCTTTCTCCCATGTAATTACAAATTATTTGAAAATTAAAATTAGTGGTTGCATACGTTCTGTCCTGAAGCCCATCTTTCTAATCTGGCCTATAACTGTATAGTTGAATTATTTCCACTTTTGTTTTGCTTTTGCTGTGATGAAATAATTCTCTCTCTCTCTCTCGAAGTACATTTCTTGAAGTAAAATTCCTGGGTCAGAGAGTATACATTTTCATTTTGAATCATACTGCCAAATGTTTATACCACTTATACTCCTACTAACAGCATATGAGGGCTAGTTTTCCCATCTCCATCCCAACACTGGCCTTCAGAGTCTTCAAATGTTTTTTATTTTTCCTTTGTTATTGAGGTATAATTGACTTCAACTGGTAATTATGTTTTATTACTAAGAGAGGTTAAAATTTTTTTCATATAGTTTTATTGGGCAAATGTATCTTATTGAAACTATCCCA